GGTGGCGGCGGGCGAGGAGGGCTCGGAGGTGGGATCGCAGCAGAGGTAGCCGTGCTGCAGCAGCACCTCGCTGGCGCAGACGTGGCAGACGTTGTGCGCGCAGGGCAGGGCCAGCGGCTGCTTGTACATCTCCTTGCACACCGGGCAGACCAGCTCCCGCTCCATGTTCTTCATGCTGGTCTGGGGAGAGATTTGGGGGAGCGTCACCCACCGCGGACAGGACCGGGACCACAACAGGGATCGGGGCTGGGACTGACACCAGCACCAGTATCAGGACCAGCACTGGGACCAGCACCAGGATGGGGGACCAGGGCTGCCACTGGGATGGGATTTGGGGCTGGGAACAGCACCGGGGCCAGGACCAGGACCAGAGCCAGCACTGACACCAAATCTGTGGTCAGGCCTGGGAGCAGCATCAGCGCCAGGGCCAGGACCAGGACCAGCACTGGAACCAGCACCAGGATGGGGACCAGGACCAGGACCAGGATTCGGAGCAGAGCCAGGGCCAGGATCAGGACCAGCACCAGGGTAGGGACCAGAGCTGCCACTGGGATGGGATTTGGGACTGGGAACAGCATCAGAGCCAGGACCAGGACCAGTACTGGGACCAGAGCCAGCACTGACACCAAATCTGTGGTCAGGCCTGGGAGCAGCATCAGCGCCAGGGCCAGGACCAGGACCAGCACTGGAACCAGCACCAGGATGGGGACCAGGACCAGGACCAGGATTCGGAGCAGAGCCAGGGCCAGGATCAGGACCAGCACCAGGGTAGGGACCAGAGCTGCCACTGGGATGGGATTTGGGACTGGGAACAGCATCAGAGCCAGGACCAGGACCAGTACTGGGACCAGAGCCAGCACTGACACCAAATCTGTGGTCAGGCCTGGGAGCAGCATCAGCGCCAGGGCCAGGACCAGGACCAGCACTGGAACCAGCACCAGGATGGGGACCAGGACCAGGACCAGGATTCGGAGCAGAGCCAGGGCCAGGATCAGGACCAGCACCAGGGTAGGGACCAGAGCTGCCACTGGGATGGGATTTGGGACTGGGAACAGCATCAGAGCCAGGACCAGGACCAGTACTGGGACCAGAGCCAGCACTGACACCAAATCTGTGGTCAGGCCTGGGAGCAGCATCAGCACCAGGGCCAGGACCAGGACCAGCACTGGGACCAGCACCGGGATGGGGACCAGGGCTGCCACTGGGATGGGATTTGGGGCTGGGAAAAGCATCCGAGCCAGGATCAGGACCAGTACTGGGACTAGAGCCAGCACCAGCGCTAAGCCTGCGATCAGGCCTGGGACCAGCATCAGCACCAGCCCAGGATCAGGACCAGCACTGGGACCAGCACCGGGATAAGGGACCAGGGCTGCCACTGGGATGGGGACTGGGACTGGGGCCAGAACCAGAGCCAGGACCAGGCCTGGGAGGAGCAGCACAGTCAGGATGAGGGCCAGGACTGGGACCAGCAGCGCAATGGGGAGCAGGGCTGGGATCAGACTGGGAATTGCGGCTGGGGCCAGCACTGGGGCCAGGATCGGGACCAGCACCGGGACCAGGATCGGGACCAGGATGGGCACCAGGATCGGAGCCAAAACGGGGACCGGCCCCCCCGCCCACGGGTGTGCGGGCAGTTCCCGGTGCTCCCGGCGGTGGCCCGGTG